TATAGAAATGTAACTTAGTTTCAAACCAATTTTTATAATTAGTTTAAGTCGAGTTTTCTAATGATATAAATCAACTAATCAAAGTTAAATTGAATTTTAAATTTTAAAATATAAATTTATTTCAGTATCCATGTTAAAATGTCATACTTCTAGAGAAATAATAACATAAATTAAGTTGAGTTCCTTTTTTCTTTAATATCTATAACCAAACTCATTTACATATTTTGTAGTCCACGAGTGGAAAATAACTTGTTTTGTATTATAGGTATTTGGAATAGGATTATAGATTAAAAACAAACACAACTGAATTTCCATTGGCCATAGAGCATTTTCACGCAGGTGAAAAACCTTACGCGTGTTACGTTTGCAAAATTTCATTTTCGAAGAAAAGTATGTTACTYCAACATTATAGAAGACACTCCGATGAAATTCCATACATGAAAAGCGACATAATTAGTGAATCATAATATACACAACCAACTAATTTGTAAATAAATGTTTATATAGAACGAACACAGGTGAAAAACCGTATTCTTACAAGTGTGGCAGATTATTTGCAGATTTAATTACCTTGATTGTGCATGCTGCGAAGGAGTATTTGAGTGCAGTTTGAGTAAAAAGTCGTTCTTGTCAATCATCGATCATACAAGACATATTATGCGGCTTATTCATTGCAAAAGCTGTTAAATTCATTACCGGCGGTATTATAATGTAGCCAATATAGGTAGGTGTTTTATTCTCAGTTTCATAAAGGATGCCATAATAAATCTTTTCTACCGAGGATGGCGTGATTCGAAAGAATTTCGTAGAAAATTGTTGTTTCTTACATTAATAATAATGTATACACTTTAAGTATTACACTATTACAGTACTATATTGTTACTACTGCAGGTATTGTAAGTAGTATAGCTTTAARTTTATTATTATTATTAAGAGTTGATGTATAAAATTGTATCTACTATATAATTTAGAATTTGTTGATGTTCATTTTTTTTTCGTAAATGAATATATATATTCTATTCATAATAAATTGCTCTTTATGAACTGCTTGTATTAGTGTATTTACTGATGAAGTTGGATAAAAAACTATTTCCATGTTCCTAATACAAACAATTGAGTWGAAAAATTAATAAAATWTTTCATAAATTTTTTTGAATTTCTYATATCATATTAATTTWARCTAATAAGTTTCAACTTCCAATAATATMATTTTAGATTTGTATTTATCATATTTATATTGCTTTATATTAAAAATCAGCTCAACAATAACAGCACCAGTTTCCAACTATATCTAATATTTTATAATTGTGGTCATCATCAAGTTATACACTACYTACTGTATTATGTTTCTATCCTAGTAAGTAGTGAGTATACTGTATAATATAATGTAATATAATTTTATTAATAGRTTAYAGTATATTAGTTCTAAAACTTAAAATAAACACAAATTTATTTAACATGATATTTTAATTTTTGGTTTATTTAATAATTGTAGAAAATAAATCATTAACATATTATCCTCATCAATTATATTTTCTCCATAGATATTATTAAAAACGCTGCTGGAATAATGGATTTGATTTACATATTGGATTTTAAAAACGGTTTCAAATACAGCCCAAATGAGCGGTTCACTGGTTCTTTGTTCAGAGGGCTTTTATTGGCCTCTGACAAAAGCCGTTCGTATACGTTTCCGTCGTAGCAGCCTAATGCAGAGTCCAATATTTCGTCTTGAATATCAAAACTATCTACTAGACCTACTGCGTTGGGTCTAATACGTTTCAAACAGTCTTCTAATAAATGTTGTATTGATTGTACATCGTTGGGTTTTAGGTTGGAATGCTGAAATTGACAATAATTATAATCGTGGTAATGAAACACAAAAGCGTATAA